TATGTTTTCCTATGAAAAACTTCCGTGTGCACTCCAGGATAGCGTCATATGATGCCGTATTTTCACGTCAGCACTCGGACAAAATATCAGTGAGTGACACTTCTGGTTCTGTATCTATTCTGTGTCCATACATTGGCACAACACGCCATTTTCACGTCGTCTTTGACGTCCGCGTCCTCGATCTAAATATGTCTATTGCTTGGTGTAACATCCCTTGCAATGCGATGCTGAAATATTTTTCTTAACATTGCGTGACAAGTTACTTAGTGTAATAGCGCTTTTATGAGTTCTGAACAAACTCACGTACCGAATATAAAGCGCAGCTTGTTTCTAAATCGGGCTGGGATACAAAAGCCTCAATTTGTTTCCAATTCGGGCTGGGAGCAGGCTGTACAAAGCGATGCCTAGCTTCATTTGGGCATTGCAATAATCAGCAGAATTGTTTAATTCTCTTCACTTAAGATATTTAATATTATTTGTTCTCTGTTTCAGATTGGCTGATCATTTTGGTGGTAAACTTCATATGGGATTTATAAAAATACGTGACAGATTGAAAGAACTCGAAGTACGCAATTATTTCATAGAATATTTTATGAACTTATTAATTAAAGTCTTCCTTTAGATATGGAGAACATCTCTGATCTCTGGATCATGACTGGATGACATGGAGAACAGTAGGATTTTCCAAACAATGAAAAGATAATGGAACATTCTGATCACTGGATCATGACTGGATGACATGGAGAACAGTGGGATTTTCCAAACAATGAAAAGACAATGGAACAGTCTGATCACTGGATCATGACTGGATGACATGGAGAACAGTAGGATTTTCCAAACAATGAAAAGACAATGGAACATTCTGATCACTGGATCATGACTGGATGACATGGAGAACAGTGAGATTTTTAAAACAATGAAAAGACAGTGGAACATTCTGATCACTGGATCATGACTGGATGACATGGAGAACAGTGGGATTTTCCAAACAATGAAAAGACAATGGAACAGTCTGATCACTGGATCATGACTGGATGACATGGAGAACAGTAGGATTTTCCAAACAATGAAAAGACAATGGAACATTCTGATCACTGGATCATGACTGGATGACATGGAGAACAGTGAGATTTTTAAAACAATGAAAAGACAGTGGAACATTCTGATCGCTGGATCATGACTGGATGACATGGAGAACAGTGAGATTTTTAAAACAATGAAAAAACAACGGAACATTCTGATCACTGGATCATGACTGGATGGCATGGAGAACCGTGGGATTTTCAAAATAATGAAAAGACAATGGAACATTCTGATCACTGAATCATAAAAACTTTTTTGTCTTGTGTGTAGGACGAGGTGTCAAAGAAACGGGAGGAAAGAGAACAAGAGAGGGTGAGAAGACGAGATGAAAGAGAGAAAGAACTGGAAGAGAGAAGAAAGAAAGAACGAAATGGCGACAGGTAAATATCCACGACTATCCTTGGTACGCCAGGTGGTACCATTGAACTATAAATAAACTGGAAGGCTAACTGCTATGATGAAGGCCTATGATTTGATGAAGCCAAAATAGTTTTTCTGAGTTATGAGCAGAAATACTTGACCCCAAACGTCGGGCTATATATCAAATTGAAGCTATTGAAAATTGCTATTCGGTGTGGAAATTTCAAGACTTCAGCGAAAAGAAAAATCTTTAAAAAATACAAAAACAACTGCAAAACGGCAAATTTTCGGTAATTATGTTTGTAGTTTTTCAATATTTCCCTTTTAGCTAAAGTCTTGAAACTTCTACACCAAATAGCGTTTTTCAATAGCTTCAATTTGATATATAGCCGAACGTTCAGTGTTGAGTATTTCCGCTCATAACTCAGAAAAACTAAAATACACTGGCTTCAATTTCCCCCCCTGAGTTAGCCTTCCAGTTTATTTATAGTTCAATGAGCCCACCCTAGCAGTTACTTCATGCCCGGTCCCTAAGTTTGTTTGCCGCTCGAGAAACGTATCAAAAATGTAAAAAATTGAAACCAAGTGGAAAATCATATTCATCAGTTTTGAGCGCGTATTACGTGACATATAAAAGATTCCCCTCTTAATAATTCAATGAGCTGTTATGATACACGTTTCCGATTGGGCTTTGATGGTGAAAAAGAAACACGAGAAAAGTCTGAAATTGCAGTGGTATTGTGTCGTCAGGCATTCAAAAACTCGAGCAAAAACTTACATCACTTTCATAGCTCTTATTAAAAAAAAAACGAGAAAGTCTGATATTTGATGGATATATGTCACCATTGAAAAACCTACATAGCTCTCTCATTAACATTCTTTTAAAAAAACACGAGAAAGTCTGGCATTTCAATGGAATTATGTGACCATTCACAAACTTATAACCCTCTCGTTAAAATTATTTTATAAAGGAACTGGGTGGGTGGGCTGGAATACTCCATCCAAAAATTGATTGGTTACAAGGGAGGCTCCCCCTTTCTCTACAGCTCTGGGGCCGGTTGTACAACCTTTCTAAAATTGCTCGTTGTTTGGTACATAGTCTGTCAAGATGTGATGATCTGGAGCCCGGCAAACTTCAAAGCTACAAAAAGGTTTGAAGGCCTTTGTTTGATGACTGATGTTGAACTGTACTTCACCGTGGTGTCGCGTTTCATCTCAGCTATCCCTATTGGACGGTTACTTCATTATACGAAAATACAATGAGCTCAATCACCGTGACCGTACACAAATTAACATAAACTCCGACAAAAACCATCAAACAATGACTTCTGTTTAAGGACCGGGCATAAAGTAACTGCTAGGGTGGGCTGGAGTGATTTGGGATGGGCCATGGAAAAATCATTGGGCAGTTTCGATGGGTCGCCAATTTTTTTGTATGTCCACGGTTGGGCCACCAAACAAAAACCCATACATGTCTACTTCAAAAAATAAAGATATTACTAATAAAAATAAACGTGGTGGTCGAATCACAGCAAATACAGCCAAATGGAGAGCAGCTCAGTATCGTAATTGGTGATGAATGTGCTGGTCAAGCTTGGTGGAATTATGTATGTCAATACAGTGCCGGTGTATATTTACAATGTACATACCTGCACGTTTTTTTTTATTATAAAAGTGTATTTTCCCAATTTAGATTGGGTGGGTCATGAAAATTTTTTTGTGACCCTGCTTTGCCATAACCCGGAAAAATAATGCCCCCCCCCCCCTCTTGCTCGTGTCAGTAAAAATGTACCTACATACTACAAAACCCTGCATTCAATAAGTTTTCTAATTGCACTTTAGATTTTCTAATTTTCTAGTTGCGCTTTAAATCAAATACTAAAATTTATATTATACCAATACATAGTCATATATAAAACTTTAGTTTTTTCAAACTTTTCTTTCTAAGTTTAAAGAATCAATTTTTTTCAATGCAACTCAAACAAAATGTGAGAAGGCATATAGAAAACAATTAATTGAATTAAAACAGCAGACCCCCTCCCCGCCTTCATAAACTGTCTAATATTTTACGAACCCCCCTTTTTCCTGGCTAAAAGATACGTGACCCCCCACTGTTTCCACCCCTCCTGCTAAATTATGACCAGTCCCTTAGATGGGCTTTGAAATTTTTATCTACATCCTAAGATGGGTCACCGAAATTATTGGCAAAATTTGTGATTTACCTCCAGCCCACCCTAGCAGTTACTTTATGACCAGTCCCTTAGTTTCCAGACCATCCTATCTTGATAGACTATGTATAAGTTAAAGTTTCGTTTCATTAATTGTGGGGTCCATATCTGTATAGTTATAACTTTTCAAGCAATTTTTCAACGGTTGAAAAAATCACTATCCAGCCCCCTGGCCTGGGCACGGGGGTGAAGGCATATCCTGTCATATCGAGGCCATCCAGCAGTAAGGGCATATAAATTTTCTCATCCACCACAAAGCAGAACAGTCGCATATCAGCGTTCGGAAAATTTTCTTGAGTGGAAATGGGTCTTTAGGGTGGATAACGTCAATTTATGTCAATTTAGGGCACTTCAAATGAGTGCTTCCAGTTTAACCTGACCAAACAGCGCACGTTTTCAGCTCCTGTAGTAACACTGGAGCAACAAGGGGACAGGGACGTCGTGAAGACATCAACATTGGGGGGGGGCGGGGTGTCGTCATGTTTTGCCCAACTTTCCTAGAATTTTGACCAAGTAGTAGAAATGTTTCCCGAAGATGTTGTACATGAACCACTGAACGGACAAGCAATTTTTTGTTAAAATTGCGAACGATTTCATAACTTTGACCATCTTTTATCTCAAACTTTGACCAAATTTTACAACTTTAACCTTCAATTTTAAGCAAATATTAGTTCCATTTTGACCAACTTTGACCAAGGTTTTGAATTATTGGGGGGGGGGTGTTACAACCCCCCCCCCCCCACACACACACACCCTTGTAGCGACGTCCCTGCAAGGGGAACATGGCTAAAGCTCCCACTTGCCCTCTGGCTTAACATGATGGGGGCACTGGGAAAACATTTGCCCCGAGCCTCGCAAATTCTTTAGGATACCACAGTCAACCTCGCAAACCAGAGTCTTTACCTCCGCGGCGCCGTGCGGGTTGACATTGGTTGACATTGCTTACAATACGAGGCGTTGTCACACACCAATAGCAAAATAATTTGCATGCAATTTGCATGTAATACGCAAAAATAGTGTCAATCTCGCATGACGCATTTTTAAGTAGCTTACGAAATCTTTCATTGCTTCCAACAAGGAAAAACAGATTTAACAAAAATGTGAAGATTGATAAGATTACTGAGCTTCTACTTTCTAGGCTTAAAATACACCTGTGAATTGACGATAACAATTAAAGTACCGGACTCACTTCAACGACATCACCATATGCCGGTCAGAAGTAATGCCTGCCCACAAAATGACCTGTGCTAAGCTATTCCTGAAACCGTTAAATTCGATGCTGTGAAAAGTAAATCCGTATGGCCAAAAAAACGTCCAAATATAGGCCCTGGGCTTATATTTATCGCTGAAATCTTGTGATGTAAAACCCTCGACATTGGGCGTTGAAGTGCATGATCTTTCACTAATGTTGAGGGGTTTTTGCAGATGTAAATTTTGAACCAAATATATGTATATTTGTAGAAAATATGTACATATTTTTAGACCTAATCACGAGGTGCGAAAAATGCAACTTAGACCCTCCGGTAGAAATTGTACCTACCGCCCTGCAGATTACACCACTGAGCTACAGTGTCCAGTTGACAAGAGCTATAAACAATCACACACATATACAAAGCATCACACCTATTTCATCTTTGATGTAATGTTAACAGGGTGGGTTGGGATTAGCCCCAAACTGACTCTTCCACCATAACTGTACTCCGTGATCAGACATGAGTCATATTATAAGGTGGCTGCCAAAGGCGTCCTTAATTAAAAAGCCTTCAACTCTATCAGGAGCTCAATATTTCTCCTATCCGAACAAATTTAGAAAAATGATAAATTAATATTGTTTGTAAATAGTCTTGATTATATATTATGTTTTGTAATTGTGTTATTTAGAGACACAATTTGTTTCTTTTGGAGTTTTTGGCTTATCTCATTTAGTTAATATCATGAAATAGTAGACAGTGGTCAACTAGAAAGCTATGCTCCTTTGACCACTGTGCACTATCACTATATTGATTTTATCTTCCTTTTTCTTTTCGCTCTATTATCTATTCCATATAACTGCTTGTAATTAATCTAATGAAATAGTGCCATTAAAGAATCTTGAATCTTGAGTTGCGTCCTTTTAAGGAGGCAGATCAACAAAATGATCCATCTCAAATGGTTCTTCTTTATCATCCTACTTGCAGCTGAGAACTAAGTTATTAATAAAATAACTTAGTTCTCAGCTGCAAGTAAGGATGATTGATGTACTATTTAAAGCACGCGTAGGAGTGTTTTATCACATATAAAACACGACGCGTAGCGGAGTGTTTTATATGTGATAAAACACGACTACAAGTGCTTTAAATGGCTTCAAAAACGACTCATCTTATACGAGTTCATTGGCGAAGTCATTTTTAAAATAAACTTTGTCTGTAATTTTTAAAATAAACTTTGTCTTGAATATTGATTAGCACTTGATATTGAGCACTCTCATTGATATGATAGATTACATGGACCAAAACACATTAGGGCCATTTATACGGGACAAAATAAGTCGCGACTTACATAAGACGCGTCTTATATAAGCTGAGTTATCGCATACTGAATGGTTCTCTACGGATTTATTCTTATTTACTTGCTATAGCTATAATGTTGTTTCGGTTGTTTTTGTTTGAATATGCAAGGCTAATAATTTTACGTTGTTTCAAGTTTCGGGCATGTGTAGTTAGAATTTTTGTCTAAAATTTCTTATTTAAGACGCGACTTAAATAAGAACAGCTAAAAGTCATGTTCTTATGTATAAGACGCGTCTTATCCAAGACGCGTCTTACATAAGAATTTTGTACCTTTTATACGACAAACTCGCGTCTTATTTAAGTCGCGTCTTATGTAAGTCGCGTCTTATTTTGTCCCGTATAAATGGCCCTATTGTTAATTGTATTTGATAACATATGCATATATCCAGTGCTGTAAGTAACTTCGTTACAAGTAACGAAATTACAAGTAATCGTTACTTTTTGAGTAACTGTAACGGTAACTAGTTACCTTTAAAAATAAGGTGACTACAGTGTGTATCAAAATAATTCGAATCCAAATTTGACAGACTGCTGTTTATAAAATACTAAAGTAAACCATATAATTTTTATATGGCAATAAAGAATAGCCTACTAGGTTTCCGATTATATCGTTCTTATATCAATAAGATCAAAAATGACCAAGAAATCGTGTGTTAAAACTGGTTGCTCGAAATCAAATTTTTCCGCCGATGGGAATTCGAAGTGAGACGTACAAACAAAAGATAATGCAAATTTAATTAATCAACAAACTGTTTTGTAGCAAAATTTACATAAATTCGTGTTCATTTAAAGAGATTTTAAGCTCCTATGCCTTAAACATGTTGAACGAGAAGAAATTCGCGTTAAATTTGCATTTTAGTTTTCAGTGATGATTAGCATTTCAAAGCCTTGTGGGATTAACTTTGAAAGAAAAAATGTCCAATTCCCATCGGCGGAAAATTGTGATTTTTATAGACTTTTTTTGTCAAAGCAATACTCCTTCATTTTCCAACTAAATGACGCGTACAGCATGTCATTTGAAAGATAAATAAATGAACTTAACAATGGTGTAAAAACCAACCGAATTTGTCAAATATATTCTGCGTTATTACACGCCAAATTTGTATTCGAATTATTTTGATACACACTGTATAACTGTAACGAGTTACATTTTAGCCTGAAATGAAACGATAACGCGTTACTTTTATAGCCAACGTTTACATTACTTTTTTCATTACATTCTTGCGGTTAAAACTTACAATTCATCTCTCAGTTCTCGAAATTCTCCTCACGGTTTTCTACGACAACGCATGCTTCAGTACTTACTACACAGCTGGGAGATCCATTAATGGTAAGGTTACATAACGTTTACAAATAATTAACGTCAATCTGCTGACCACTAATCATTAAGTTGAAAAAAAAACTGGGGTTTTTCTTACTTGATAAAGTTACAAAAATTTCTAAGTAACTTGTAACTAGTTACAAAAATATTGAAGTAATATTGTAACGGCAACTAGTTACATTTTTTTAAGTGTAACTTTTACAAGTAACTAGTTCCTTTTTTGGGAATGTAACTAACTGTAACTAGTTCCAAAAAATGAGTAACTTTTAATACAGCACTGCATATATTGATAACAATTCAGCGGCGCATTGAGAAAAACAGAACTACCTGAAAACTGGCAAGCTGAACGTCGAGGTTTTGCTTATATTTTCCAGGTAACTGTATTCCTCTCGATCCCCTCAGTTGTCTTGTATTATCGTCGCTACATGCACTGACATAAACCGTTCGAGTTTAAAGGGGCATTGTCACCGATTTTTGAGCAATTCTAGCCCTCGCAAATTTTGCCCAAAACTGAAAAAGAATGAGTGTAAGCACAAAATAAAGCAATAACAGACAAAAAAAAAACATGGGCAGAAGTCTGGATGGGCAAGATTACGCCAGGATTGAGATGGATTGTAAATGGCATCTTTATTAATTGTTGGCAGACACTTTTTCAAGTTTTAGTCAATTTTTATGAAAATGTCATGTTGCGTGGAAGTTCAAAGTTGTTTAATATGACTCGTATATCATAACTTAATCAATTTACAATAAATTTGTACTTCAGTTTTTGAATAAAAGGCGTTTTAGGTAAAAAATCGGTGACATTGCCCCTTTAACGTATATTTGATAACATGATGTGTACAACAAGGTAAAACAAAAATACAGGATATTCTTGTTCAGTTGCCTCGAAGCGAGAGGCAATTAGCCATTTCCCAAAGTCCTGGGTTTAGTCGCGTAAATTCCATGTTGGAGGGACAAGAAATATGGCGGTACACAATTAAATTAAAAATTTTAATGTAAAAAGGAGATATTTCATTTTTGGTCGTCTAAAAAGTTGATATTTGATAGTAGATACTTCTACTCTTTCACATATTTGACGCCTGTCACCATATATTTTGTCCCTCCAAACGATCCCAGAATGCACTGTGATCTCTTTTGGGAAAAGGATCAGCGCAGTAACAACCAGCAAAGTTGTAGTAGCAACTAACAAACTCGGATTAGATTCGGATCAGACAATTTCGGATCGGATTCGGATTTCAAAAAATTACCAATTGTCGGATTGTAAACATCCGATCCGATGCACACATCTAATACAAACATGCAAACTGACGCAAACCGACATTCGCAAAAATACATAGATCAGATCGCCCAAAAGACTGGTGTGCTGCTGGGCGGCTTGGTGTTGCTGCTTCTCTGCGTGCGCTCGGCAGCAATTATGTAAATATTTGTTCGGTGTTATTTAATTTCTCGATTTTATCAGTTTTAGTTACAATTCTGAAATATATATGTGTGTTATTGCTGTAAAAAGTAACAATAATTTTAGTTTGAAACACGTTGCTGGATATTCAACAATGCGTCACAAGGTTTCTATATGGCCCCCCTTTTGATCAAAATATCTATTGGTTATACGTAAACTAAATTAAACTTCACGGCATAACTATGTAAAGTTTAAAGGCGGTGTCTGTTTATTGTGAAGATTCGTCAACGAAAATAGCTCGTGTTTGACAGGCGAAACCAAATCCGTTAGGAATGAACTCCGATGTAGGGGAACCATAGCGGTCAACACATCGACAGCCGTTAAATTGACATTGACGTGGTTTATAATAGCCCTCGCTGTCGCATTCTGGCGGGCTAATGTCCTGCAGATCAATACCCAACATCCTGTACATTTCTATCAATTCCTCGATCTCATTTGCCTTTTTCCGACATTGCGGTGCTGAAATTAAAAGAAGATTTCTCTCATGAGGGAGTGTTGATCGTTTAAATTCTCTTATTAAGTCCCACTCTCAAATAAGTTTCCATCTCTAATAAATCTCCATCGTAATACGGTCCTCTCTGTCTCTAATAATCCCTCTCTCTGATCTTTCCCTCTCAAATGAGACTCCGATCCTGTCTCTAATAAACCATCTCCAAAAATTAGCCCCCTCCCTTATAAGGTTACTCTTTAATAAGACCACTCTCTCTAACAAGCCCTTTCTAATGAGCCCTCCTCTCTAATAAGGCTACTCTTTAATACGACCCCTCTCTCTAACAATTCCTTTTTGATAAGCTCTCTTTCTAATAAGCCTTATCTAATAAGCCCTCCTCTCTAATAAGCCCTCTCTCTAATAAGACCTCTCTCGTAAGGCCCCTCTCTCTAATAAGCCCTCCTCTCTAATAAGCCCTCCTCGATCTCTAATAAGGTCTCTCTCTAATACGATCCTTCTCTCTAACAATCCCTCTCTAAATAAGCCCTCTCTCTAATAAGCTCTCCTCTCTAATATGTCCCCTCTCTAATAAGCCCTCTCTCTAATAAGACTTCCTCTCTCGTAAGGCCCCTCTCTCTAATAAGCCTTCTCTCTGATAAGTCCTCCTCTCTAATAAGGTCTCTCTCTAATAAGAGCCCTCTCTCGGACAATCCCTCTATAATAAGCCCTCTCTCTAATAAGCTCTCCTCTCTAATAAGTCTTCTCTCTAATAAGCCCTCTCTCTAATAAGCTCTCCTCTCTAATAAGTCTTCTCTCTAATACGCCCTCTCTTTAATAAGACCTCTCTCGTAAGGCCCCTCTCTCTAATAAGCTTTCTCTCTGAAAAGCCCTCTCTAATAAGAGCCCTCTCTCTAATAAGAACCCTCTCTCTAATAAGACCTCTCTCTAATAAGCTCTCCTCTCTAATAAATCCACCAGTCTTATAAGCTGTCTCTCTCATAAGCCCTCTCTCTAATAAGCCTTCTCTCTCTAATAAACCCTCTCTCTAATAAGCTCTCCTCTCTAATAAGCCCACCAGTCTTATAAGCCTTTTTCTTAATAAGTCATCCGCTCTCAAATAGGCCTCTCTCCATCAACAATTTGAATCACACGCTCGTTTATGACTGCATACAGTCACAAATAAATGAAATGCAATTTAGTGGTTAATAGAACTTTACCTTCTGTCGTAGGCACGACGATTACAGTGGGCGGTACTAATTCTTCACTCTCTTCCGTGCTCGCGTATTTCGTGCTCTCACTTGGTTGTGCATTCGTGGTTGTCGTTTGTTGAACTTCCTTTTCATTGGTTGGACGTGCCGTCGGGTTAAATGAATCTTGAAAAAAGTAAAATTTTATGTTCAAACTATGTTTCACTGATGATTTTTCGTCTCTCTGTCTCAGGCGAGTTCGGTTTTTTTCTCAAGTCAGTTCAGTTATAATTTCATGTAGTCAAGCTCCGTTTTCCATGAGACCGGGATGAAGTCAAACCACGGTTAACCGTGGTCAAACCGAGACGGATTTATTTCGGTCAGAGTATTATCTATAACAGATGTCTCGTGTAAACGGGGCCTCAGATTCACAGATTGACACTAAATATGCATGACCTTCAACGAGACTTGCAAAGCCGAAGACTGTTCGTGACGTGCGTTTCCTTTGTTTCCGATGGTCTAATGACCCAGTTGTGCCCTATTGCACCCTATTGCACAGGGGGAAAACCGTTGTGCTTTCGGCTCGGTAAGCAATAGCCAAAACGATAGAATAAAGATCCATATAGAAGGGCCACTTACGTCGGAAGCTTTGAAGTTTCTGTCCTCGCACATGTCGCATTACGCATGTTGGCCGCCATTTTCCTAGCCAGTCAATGACATTTTCTGGCCAATAAACACGCTGTACTGGCTGGCTGCTCCACCCTTGCGAGGTTGCTCCACCTTCTGGCCAGTAAACTGCATATTTTTGCATAAAAAAACGCGGACACGTTGCACCGCTGAGTGGCCCTTCTGTTACTGATCTTTATTTTGTGGTCAAAACTGTGTGTTGTGTTGACTTGAGCTTTCAAATTCAATATTTGAATTTCAAGAGCCGTTAAAGACGTTAAAACCGCATTTCAACCGTAAAATGATTTGTTTAATTAGTTGATAGCCATGTAAACGAAACGAAAATAGATTTGGATTATTTCATATCTGTGTATTTAAAACCGTCGCCGTAGGACGTCATTTGAATTGCCGATTTGCAAGCAAAGCGGTCCCTTTAATAGTTCACCCAAATGAATATGGCGGCCGTGTCTGTGATGTATGCACGTCACTAAGAAATGTTAGAAATATTTGACCGTCTAAAATCAGAAAACTTTTATTTTAGCAAAAGATAGGAACTACCGACGGGAAATATTATAAAGCCCGAAAATGGCAAAAATGTCTGGATGCGCCGCATAAAGAAGTCAAAGAACATTGCCATTGGTCATTGCTGAAGCAGTCACAGCATGGAATATATTTTTGTGTCTAATGTAACAATATATTGTAGTATTGTTCGCGTTCCGGTACGGTAGCACAATCGAGACATGAAATGTCTTGAAGTTTCGCCCTGCTCGTTCGCGTGAAACGGACGGTTCGAGCACAGTTTTTACACAGCTATAATTCTATAAAACAAATTCCCGTACGACACAAAACAAAATGTCCAGTCCCGTCCGTTCTTGACGCGAACGCAGGCTTTCAATTGTCAACATGACCTTGTATATGAACTACTTCCCTATATGTTGAAATTTTCATTCCAGATGCTTTGATATCAACGCGTTCTTGTTGATAAATGTCAATTTTCACTTCTCGGCCAAAATTTGAATACCAAGAGGCAAGAGTTGGCCAAAACTATACATCAGTTCGGAACCATATAATATACTGGTTCATTTGTCAAAATGCGAAAATTCGTACGGGAGCTCAAAAGTCAAACCAGTTGTGCACTGAACGCCTCACCGGCTCACGCGTTTCATGTCAACACGAACCGGCCGCAAATTTGAATTCATCTCATTCATTCCCCGCGTAAACGGAATCCAAAATACGCAGCTAGCTTTGAAAATGAAAAAGAATGCGACGCCAACGGTTGGTTTTCTCATTGATAATCAAAATAGTACGAATACCTACCTTGAAATTTGAGCAAAGATTTTGCATTTGCATCGCGTAGACAGTGCAAAAATACCACAGCAAACAGGAAGACGGTGCAAATGAACGAAAAAGTACGGTTCGGCATCTTGGCGGCTATATCCTGTGAGGTCGTTATGTGGCGTGTTTTGAAACGGTTGACTTTATTTGTACTGCGTCAGTTACACAATAATCAATATGATTGTTTTCGATTATTCAAACGTAATTATGCAAATTATATACTTGGCATGTACAAACGATTGAATAACAAACGGCCTGGTTAATTAAAATAAATGCCAGTAAAATACCGTTGGCAAAATACCTACATGTGAAAACGATTTATCCATAACGAACCATCATTTCAAAATGGCTTTATCTTTTTCGTTATTTTCGCTTGCTTCGCGAGGGCCAAAAACAAAATGCACTTCAATATGCCTATGGAAAGCCACCGTGCTTCCTAAAATGTGACACGGAACAATATCAAACCGTTTGTTTATATAGTTCTTGATTTTTGAAAGTGTTCCAAGAAGATTCTTGCATGCGTGCTTGTTCGAATATTTGTAAAGGTTTCCAACAGTAACGTTGAAGTGTTTTTATGTTGGAAATTTCGAGTCTGCAAATTTTATACATGTTAATATAGACATTTCATTTACAACCCGAAATTTAACACCTGTTATTATGTATTTAAGAATCAATAATAAAATAATAAAATACTTCTTTTATTTCTTCAATCTATTTACATTATATACATATCTAGTACTACCCTAGAGGTCAATTGGGTCAAACGTCAATTGGGTCAAACGTCAATAAACGGTTAGGGCTATTTCATGTAACTCAGTAACTTCAATTACATTGTTAGCCTGTGTCACATGCATATCATATTGTGGGCTCTTGTTACCCGGCTTTCATAATTTATGTTACAATCACTGTCATATTAATCAGCACGTTTTATGTGCGTTCTGTACTTCTGTGCTTAAATCACAATATACGTTTGACTGTGAAGTTACTATTGTGGTGTAACTGTTGGACTGATTTCTTCTTGTACATTTAGAATTGAAAGCATCAATACGGTGAAATCTCAACTGATTATGACAGCGTCTAAATGTAAGAAAAGAATGGACTTTTATTTTGTGATATTATTTTTTAACAAAATTTAAGTTGTTATTATTCCTAGATATCTTGGATTAACCTTTCATTCATGTAGCGGACTACACGCGTAAAAATCTTACATCCTATAGCTATAGTTTGCCAAACAAGTTGTTCGCACTGCTTGTCCCAAGTTGTCAGCAAGTTTGGAACAAGCTGTTAACCACATTGTCACAACCTTGTTGATATTATCAGTCTTGTTACAAGGTTGTTCCAACAAGTCCAATACAAAATTCTTTGTATGTTCTATGTCCAATACGTGGTGTTTCCACAAACAAAACTATTAAGTCCAATACAGTCACGATATAACCATATTGCCCCCTTGAGTCGTCAACCTTGTAACAAGTCTGATAATGCCATTGGGGAATGTTAGCTGATGTTAGATTGGGGTTTGTCTTCGTTTAATATTTTCATCTAATATTACCCAACATTGTTGGACGAGTAACGGGGCTCAGTGGCGTAACGTTATATCAGGGGGCCCCCGGTCAAAAATTTCCGAAGGCCCCCTAATAGAAGTGCCAAAGACACGAGTCGACCGCCGTATATGCACGAGCTTTTTAGGGGTCCAGGTCATGCTCACCCGGCAAATGTTTGAATCTAGAGTCTCTCAAATGCCATTTCCCGGACGTTTGAGAGAGATTTTACAGAATTCTGATGGTCAGAAAACGACATTGTGACATATCAGAGGCCCTGGTCAGTGTTTTTGCTCTACAGCTTGAGCCTGGGGCCCCCATTTGGCCCATTGGGGTTGGGGGCCCCCGGGTTATCCCGGTCCGAGCCCATAGTAGTTAGGCCACTGACGGGGCTACAAGGCCTAACTTGTCGAGCATGTGTACTTGTGCGGTTGTGCCCCAAGCTAAAGTGAAGTGTGCAACTACACCTTGAGTAATCGACTTCGATAAATCATTATTACTTACATGAGCAGTCTTGTTTCCCTGTCACACCAAAGGACTTTCTGATATTTCCCTGAACGTCCACACAGATCATCTTTCCATTTTCTTGTTTTTGCAGCGGCTTGAAATACCCATACTTATCACAACGTATCCACTCGTGTTCCTTCACGCCTTTTGATGTACGGTACTTTTGTCTGAGACATTGCTTCAGTTTACGACATGGCCCTCGCACTACATGACGAAGAAATAAATTGAGAGATTGTCGGCTCACAACTTGTTAAGAGGCAATTTTTTTCAATGTCACGTATTTGCAATGAAAAGTGTTCAAAACCTAAAATCTTTTTGGCGTTCCTCTCAAAATTACTTTGTTTTAGCTTCATTCTCTAGTTTATAGAGTTAGCTACCTTTTTAAATGCATCTGCCGGTTGAGAAACATAAAATAATAGTTAAAAATTGTCAATTAAGCTAGTACAATTATCAATGATGCTTTAAAATTGACGCCATATTTACAACCATATAAGCAAAACTTACTGAACTTCAGACATCATTTTCTCTTTGGCGTATCATCTAAAATCTCTTCATTTTAGCATTATTTTACAGATAAAGCACTAAACATACTTTTTAAGTTTGTTTGCCGATTGAGAAACGTATCGAAAAATAAAAATTTTGAACTTAGTCATAACCTCAAGCGATATATTATACGCATTAGTTTTGAGCGCGTGTTACGTAACGTACAAAAAAATCTCCTCTTAACAAGTTGTTGAATTGCAGGACTACACGCGTAAAAATCTCAGATCTTGTAGCAAGTCTGCCAACAAGTCGTCAACAAGTTGTGTTCGCACCGCTTGTCTCAAGTTGTCAACAAGTTTGGAACAAGCTGTTAACAACTTGTAACAATCTTGTTGATATCATCAGACTAATTGTTGCAAGGTTGTTCCAACCTTGTGTCGTCAACCTTGTAACATTCTTGTTATATCACGACTGTATCAGACTTGTTAGAACAATCTTGCAACAAGTCTGATAATGCCATCAAGCTTGTTACAAGTTGTTAACAGCTTGTTCCAAACTTGTTATAACAACTGGGAACAAGCAGTTGAGATAACAAGTTGTTGAAACAGCATGAAAATGCCTGAAACGAACTATGGCGGAACAAATGAACAATACTAAATTCTTAACAAAATTTGCAAGCAATACATACCAGCGTACTCGTTTATAAAATCAGCTCCATTTGGAAAATAACATTCCAACTTCTCGTTGAATCTCTGTAGTGGTTTAAATCTGCCTTGATCATCACATCGCGCTGACATATCCCTTTCTGAAGACTCTTGTGCGGTTTGCGCGCAGGGCTGCGAGTCTGAAAAAGAGTGTAAAAAAATTTAATTGTTTTTTGGCAAACAAGTTGTAACAAGGTTGTTGTCAAGCTGATCAGGATGTGTTCGCGCACTGCTTGTTCCCAGTTGTTGTGACAAGTCTGAAACAAGTTATCACCTTGTAACAGACTTGCTACAAGTTGTTCCAACAAGACTAATACAGGCTGTTCGTATCAAATTGCTACAAGCTTGCTGTCATCAGCTTGTTAACAACTTGTTGCGTCCAGAGACCAGACTATATTTTACTTGCAATACTTTTTGTTTGTGGAAACACCACGTAAATTTATTACTGCAAAGCTTTCGATCCGTAAGCCCGAATCTTCATCAGTGTTAATAATATGTATTAGCGCTGATGAAGATCCGGGCTTACGGATCGAAAGCTTTGCAGTAATAAATTGACGTGGTGTTTCCATAAACAAAAAGTATTCTATGTTTTATCACCGTGCAAACCTAGAAATCATTTATATTTTACTTGTTGGAACAACTTATTGCGAGTCTGTCTGTTGGCCTCATCAACCTTGTTACAAGATGGTCACTCAGTAACGACTTGTTGCAGACACGGGGAACAAGCAGTACGAGCACATCTTGTTGACACTTGACAAGCGCTTGGCTCGAGGGCTAAAGTGGATTGAAAATTGTCAAGCTGAACAGCTACGGTGCATGCTCAAAAACGTTCGCTTGTCTCGTGCAGGCAAAGCGACCCTAACGGAGAAAGAAAACGGCCTTAGTGCTTACCTATGCATTCACGTTTCCCGGCTGCCACACCATATGGTTCTGGGAATTCTCCCTCAGGCAACGCACAAATCGTGCTTCCATCTTCTTGTTTTTGTAGTGGCTCGAACAAACCGAATTTATCACATCGTATTAACCTGTGGTCCTCAACGCCTTCTGACGTATGATTTTTAAGACATTGCTTAAGCTGACGACACGCACCTTCCCCTGAAGAAGAGATGAAACCATGAACAAAATTTACAGCGGTCAGTGTAGCGCGCAAGGTAAGAGCGCATTTTCAGCACTGAAGGTAACTCTTTTAGCAAGTTTTTTTTATGGAAACCATCACTTATAGTCAGGGGCGTGGCGAACGATTCCAGATTGGGGGGGGGGGGCGTCATACCGTAATGACCAGCTGTTTCAATGAAAATGACCAACTTTTTCGTCCTTGAAAAAATGTTTCTCGAAATTTTTTTCGGCGACCTCCCCCCCCCAGCCAAAAAATTTTCGGTCAGTGTACCATATTAGGGGTAAAAAAATTTTTCCGGACATATCCAAATTTTTCGCGACATAAAAATTTTTTCGATATCACAAATTCTCCGTTTATCAAAGAAATTTTTCTAAAATTCTGAACATTTTTTGGATTTTCTAAAATTTTTGTAAATAGTATAATATTTCCTTCAATATTTAAATAATTCCTTTGACCAACTTTTCAAATTTGGACCAACTTTTCAAAGTTCAGAATTATTGGGGGGGGTGTTACCCCCCCCCAGTCGCCACGCCCCTGCTTATAGTGTCGTGGACACCACGCTTGCCTTTCAAGCTGGGGGACCTGGGTTCAATCCTTGGTCGGACCTCTACTCAAGGTCTTAAAATAATTGAGGAGAACGAGCTACCTTTACATGGACATCAGTAAATGGTTAGACTAATGGACTTTCGCGGCTTCTCGGATAAGGTCGTTAAATCGTAGGTATCTCGGATCCCCTATCAACTGGGCAATAGCCTGTTGGGAAATCCGCGCATCCTCGTTCCCAGAGCCTCACGGCCGCGCGCGACCTTCATAGGCCCTGGGATACACGGAACCGGAAGTGCAAGAAAACTTGCAGTTGTCTGTAACGGCGCATGCTCTTGAATTGCGACGCTTCAGCACCCGTAACAATCTTCGCAGACGAGTATTAGGAAGAAACGAAGTATTTGTGTTGACATATTTTGATCGAAATAGCAGTTCTCTGAGAAGCCAATCAGATGTCTCCCTTTAGTCGTCTAACCCAGAGCCTAACTTTCAACGAGTGACCGAGTGAAAATGACTCCGGGGACGAGAATGTTACGTCCGAGGCAGGGGTGGCACCAGAGAGGGGCACTGGCATTCTGCCGCAAAGTATCCTCGTTTAATTTAATTAAGAGACGTTATTTCGATTCAGCATGACGTTTAAGGGGGACAACGTGCTTCATCAAGCATCAATCATCAGTATAATAATACACAATAACTATCAAACTTCAGACCTTCAACCAACACATACCAGGGTAATTGTATATATTATCAGATTCGCCGTTTGGGAGGTAGCATTCGAAGTTTGAAGACGTTCTTTGCAGTGGTTTGTATAGACCTTGGTCATCACATCTTGGTAGCACGTGACTTGCTGCTGGTCCTTCTTGCGCAATTCTTAAATACTCTCTTCTGCATGGTTGCCAGTCTGAGGAAAATAAATCACAAAGAAATACTAGACGTTACTATCGCAAATAAAGTGCTGCCTCTGTGCAAAAAATAACTCTATGCAACATGTACACTGTATATAAGTGTATATCAGTATTAACGTACACATCCACTTTTATATTTATAAATGTAAATAGTAATAAATCGGTCATTACTGCAAAAATGGGATCTTTAATAAATATATTTGAAAGTACTAAGTAGACTTCAAGGCAGAACAGTTTAGAACTGATAGAATTATCCAGTATAATTATAAAATAACATGTATATAACGCGTGCTCTGATTGGTCGAAACCCGTGTTTGGATCAGGCCATCCAAACACGGGAGACTATCGTGTTGTTGTTATTTTATAAAACAATTACTTTATGGTTTCCGTGTTTGGATGGCCTGCTCCAAACACTTGGGAATGTTGCTCGAGTTAAGAAAAGCTCGCAAAATCACTCGCCTTCGGCTCGTGTTTCGCGCGCTTTTCTTAACTCTTGCAACATTCCCAAGTGTTTAAATCAGGCCATCCAAACACGGAAACCATAAAGTAATTGTATAATCTAAATTACAAAATTCTTCTTGTTGTACTCACTGACCCGTTAAGAAATTGTCCTTACTGGACCTCGAGAGAAAACCGTTCTGAAGCCAGTAAACACGAAGCTCTAGGAAGATGTTCTGTGACTGGTTGACTATCACAATGACAAAAAAAAAACGAAAAAATAACAACAAAAAAAATAATTGGCTTACACAGACCTGCCAACCTGAGAGAGTAAAAAATCTGGAGATTTTCTTCTCTAGTGACAAAAAATCTGGAGATTTCACAAAAAGTAGTGAGAATGAATTAATTTGACTGTATTTAACATTTACAATACGTTTATGAATACAGTAGGAAAAACTGTTGAATAAGAACTTCATTGACGCTATGTTGTATTTAAATAGAGGGATGTGATGCATAATTTATGTTATTTATGCATTAACCTTAACATTAGCCCTAGCCTCTGACTTAACTTTACTTCAACTAATGAAAATGAAAAATCCTGGAATTTAAGTAATTTCTGTCTGAATAAAATCTTAGTGTCAAACTAAAGTAGAGGTAACAAAGTAAATTGCAAGAAATGAAATAAAGAATTAAAATCGTGAGAAAACTGAGTCATGTCGTGAGACCGTGAGAAATGTACAAAAATCGTGTGACGCACGGTGGAATCGTGAGGTTGGCAGGTCGCTTACATAAACAAAAGGAATATTGTTCTTGCTTCGTTCTTTAGAAAATCCATTTTATAGCTTATTCTTTTGTTATTGTCATAATCAACCAATCACAGAACGTCTTCCTAGAGCTTCGTGACGACCCTCTGAGTGGAGAACATTCAGTATAAATAAGTTACTTTAGAAGCTTAGTGACAATTTAAAAAAATTAGCGCCGGTCAGAAATATGACATTTGATTTGATCAGTAAAAACCTCCGGTTGACGTCAGAAATCTTGGATTTAGAGAGTATTGATATGCTTTTAGCAAGATAAATAGACTTCTAAAACCCTACAGGCATGAAAGTCGAAAAACAAAAACATTAATTAACCGCAATTTACGATTGTATATAAAAAAAAACATCTCGATGATTCAGTGACGTACGAAGAGGCTTCAATGAGAATCGTTTGCAGGATTGTTTTGGCTGCTAAAAGCACTTGAAGTTTTGCGTTTTAAATTCTGGCAGTCCGCCTCGACACCGGCGATCCTCTAAAGAGAATAACCGAAAAAAATTCAGATTATATTTTATTGACGCAATTATTACATTCAGGTTACCCAAGGGCTTGCAAAACAACGTTAGTGGAGGTTTCGAGAAATTCCTCGCAACCATACTTTAGGATCATGTACTTGAAAATGTACTTCAGAAAATTTAAAATTTCCTGGATTATAATTTGATCCTATTACGACGAATAGAACCTAACCCTATATTTGCACGAAACAATGGAATATAACCCAAAACTATTCATTTCATCGAAAGCAGAAAATGTTTGTTACATGAAGAATCGAACAATAGTCACAATGGCCACAGGCATTAAACACTGTGTACCACTATATTTATGGTACCAATGAAGCCACAAATACAAATTTCGAATCCCGACTATTAAATATCAAGTGTCTCTCGGAAACATTTTCATTATGCCATTTTCAATTCTACACTTAGCAACATCTTGCACCCAGAGAACCCTCAAATAATCGGATCTCGAATCGGATGCTAACATTAGAGTATAATCAGCCAGACATGCCTGCATGGATTAACAGGCCTACTTTTGCGGATGATTAACTTATTTTGACTATTTCATAAACCATTAAGTTTGTTTTCACCAACGAGGAAAAATATTGACGTCGTTGAATGTTCTGACATTAATTGGAGTAAGGTAAACCATTAAGTTTGTTTTCACCAACGAGGAAAATCGTTGACGTCGTTGAATGTTAGACGTTAATTGAAGTAAGGTAACATGATTGACCTTGGTTGTCCAGTCAAATTAATGGCATGTA